TCACAATATGATTATTATAAATATGGTTAATGACATGTAAAAAATAATAATGAAGGTAGTCATGAGTGACACTTAGTTCGACAGGGGATTACGGAATATATCTAACATTACAAAAACGTTAGTTGTAACTTTCTTGGCGTACGGTTACGTCTTGATTTACGACTATAGACGCTATAAAAAAAGTTACGTTATTGATCATATTTCTACGTCATAGTTTATGCCGTAATATATATATAGATATATAGCCACCAATCGAATAAATACCGTCTAGCAGATAAATAACTTGTCTTTTATTATTCTTTGTTCGATAATTATTAATTAACATCTGTTCATTTATAATTTTCATTTATAATTTTCATAACATTCATAGTATATTATTTAAAGAGCCTTGTCCTGCCTTTCTAAAAAAATTATATCTTGGAAAAAGAGCGTTATGTCTGAACAAGCTGAACAAGTACTCGGACCTTTTTCTACGCCTGCGACCTATCACCCAATTGTTCAGGGGCTGTTGAGCATGGTTAAACGCAATAACTGGGAGGACAAATTTGTGAAGGCAGTCTCTGACGCTTATAATTCAGGCGTCGAAGAAATGACTAATATAAAAACTTTGACTGACTACTACAATTATCTTCATTACTTTTTGTTTTGGGTGCCTGTAGAGAATAATATAGGAACTCTCGTTCACAATATGATGAGCACTATGTATTACGTTCTTGATCAGGAATCTGTCAGACCGCTTCAGTCACCCATTAAGCCTTCATCATATCCACCACCACCACCATTGACAGAGCTATCGCAATGGATAGTCTATTTTTCCTATGCTTTAGGTCAATTTCTCAATACACCTCAATCACTTACCGAGGAATCTTTACGGACTTTTTATAATACGGAGAGCTACAATATGAACATTTATGAGGCTCCCAGAAATGGCTGGCGTACTTTTAACGCTTTCTTCGCGCGAAAACTCTTGTCAGGTGCCCGACCCATCGACAGCCCTTCCAATCCAGCGGTTATTGTAAGTCCTGCAGATTCAACGTTCAATGGCTCTTGGAATATCAGAAATGATTCAATTGTCGTTTTAAAAGACCTCCCTTGGACCATTGGCGAGTTGCTTGCAAACAGTCAGTACAAAGATGAATTTGCCGGTGGGATATTTATGCACTCATTTCTTGTACCATACAACTATCATCGTGTGCATACTCCTGTCGAAGGTAAAGTGCTCGAAGCTAAGGTTATTCCAGGACAGACCTATTGTGATGTTACTGTTAAAAAAGACACCAGAGGAAAAATGACTCTCAAGCCTAGTCGAAAATTTCTAAGAACAGACGAAATCGATGTACCAGACCCTCCGGGGTATCAATTCTGCCAGACTCGCGGTCTGATTGTAATTGATTCACCAAAAATTGGAAAAGTGGCTATTTTACCAGTCGGTATGTCTCAGGTGTCTTCTGTGGTCCTCACTACTAAGCTAGGGGCTGAATTGAAGAAAGGAGATGAGATATCTTATTTTCAATTTTGTGGATCTAACGTTTGCCTCTTGTTCCAAAAGCAGAGCAAAGTTGAAATACCTGCTAAAGACGGTGAACATTATAACGTGGGCAAACAGATTGCAATTGCCCACATTACTGAATAGTAACGAAATATTTGATACATATTAAATAATAATAAAATTCTACATTATTATTATACCACTTGTCATTCTGCGAACCTATAATCTATGTAACCTGAATAATATAAGGTTTCATTATTTTAGATTATGGTATGAGGATTAAGCGTTATAATTTAGTCTAATCTTATGGAATTTGTAAAGAGTCATGATGACGGAAAATTTTTGAAATTCTAAATAAAGGATTTAAGAAACTTAAATTGGCAAATATAACGATAATTGCGAATTTATTGTCATTTGATACTTTTCAACACATTTAGTATAAACTTAAAATCAATTTTACAATACATTTCAAATTACTGTGATCATGTATCGCACCGAGAATCAAGAATCTTTTGGTTAATTAAAAATTAATAAAATAATTTCTATAATTATTAATATAATTTAATATTAAAATTCCCGATAGAACAATAGAACAGTAGAAAAGAATCGGGTCTACTAAAATGCACCTATGGTGTTCAACACCATAGGTCCCTATTTCTCAAAAATGTACTAAGTAAACGGGATCGGGTACTCTAAGTAAAAATGTTCAGGACCCCCAAAAACCTCACGAGAACTGAGATCGGGCCCTATCGGGCCCTTATAGTAGCTCTATATATATTATATAAAAAAAACAATAATTCTCTAATTTCTAACCCTAACCCTAAATTTTACTAAAAACAATTATATATGGTGTTGAACACCATAGGTGCATTTTATATTAACTGGAAAAGAATAAATAGAATTTATGATAAAATAAATAAAATAATAGAATTTACAATGAAATAACGGAAAACCGACACTGTCAATAAAGTACGATTTTGATGTGAACATTCTCGTTACTTTACTATACTATTTGATTATAAATATAAAAACTAACACTGATTTTTTAGTTTGAAGGTCACTTGACAACATAAAGCAGAATGATATGGAGTTTTTCTCCGTCACTCTGTAAATATAAATACAAAATATGACAACGATTACGGATTAACTATACGATCTATCTTCATGACATAAAGTATGGCTATTTTGTAAAGAAGGTAAACACTTGTACAAACAAGCCAAACACACCTCAAGTAACATATGAATTGCAAGTAACTCGAGCAAAATTTAAAAGTTATAAGTCATGAAAATTTATGCAATATCAACAAGATATTAATCACGAGAAGTTTGCGTAATATGTCAAGATGTTTATTCTACATCAAAAAGCAGTTATTCTCGAAATTTTTATGCAACACAAAATAATTATCATTCAAAGAACGTTATAAAACGCCATCAAGTCGTAAACCAGAACCATTGGCATAACTTTAGATATTATTTAGTTATAAAAAAATTATGAATCAAATTACATGGAATATTTGCAAGAACATATCAAATTCCACCATCTAGCATAACCTGGCATTGAAAATATGTGTATTCAATATAATTTTTTTAATAGCCTTAACTTCCAGTAATACAGTATAACATAGGCTTTTAAGTTTATTTGTTCTTGAAAATTTTTAAATTCATATCACTTTTTTTTTCATAGTTCTTAATTACATATAGTAATAAAGGAGATCACAGATTGTCTTGGTTTAGATTTTTTAAAAAATACTTAGTCTTTCATTGCTTCTATGATTATTAGTATGCAATTATTATTGAGCTTATATCTTGAATGACAATTCAAGTAATTTTTAATTTCATCTCATGCTACAAAATTTGACATAAGCTGTATATGGATAATTAACCGCAGCAAAATTGTCACAGCAGATTCTCAATTCTGATTGGCTGTACTATGTAAAAACCTTGATGTTTTTTATATCTTCTAGCGATGGTTTCTCGACAACTATCTGATTAATATTAATTAATTTTTGATTTTAATTATACAAGCATGTAAAATTAAAATAAAAAATTTTATTGAATTTGACCTGGTAGTTATCGAGAAACTTCAAAGTTTTAAAAAAGCGTTGAAAATCTTGAAAATCAAAAATGGCTACGATTATGATTTTTTAGTGTTTAACCGTAGGTCAAATTCGAAAAAATTTTTTATTTTATAATCTTATAGAATTTAAATAAAAAATTATGATCGAATTTGACCAGGTATTATAGATTAATCATTGTTCAAAGTTATAGTGTCTATAGAAAAGAAGCAGCGGCTAAATTTATTTTTTAACTTTCAATTTAATGTTTTCAACGACTACCTATCTAAATTTGATAAAATTTTTTTAGTATAATTTAAAAGATCTGTGGAATTAAAATAAATTTTTTTACCGAATTTAATTAGATGGTGTGAGAAACTACCGTTTAAGATTTTTTTAAAAAAAGAATTTAAATTCAAAAAAAACTTTACGAATTTGAATAGGTAGTTGTTAAGAAATATTGATTGAAATTAAAAAAAAAAAATTTGGTGCAGCTTCTAGATAACAAACTTTTGAACGAAGATTACTCTACATATACCTGGTCAAATTCGTTCTTATTTTTTTTTATATTAATTTATAAGATTATAGAATTAAAATAAAAAATTTTAATCGAATTTGACCAGGTATGTATAGAGTAATCTTCGTTCAAAGATTTGGTATCTATTAAAAAAAAGCTGCGGCTAAATTTTTTTAATTTTAACCAATATTTCTTAAATACCTACTGTATTCAAATTCGGTAAAACTTTTTTTGTTTGCATTCTATAGATTTGTAGAATAAAATAAAAAAAATTTCATCGAATTTGGTTTTTTAGCTATCGAGAAATTATTATTTAAATTTTAAAAACCATGATCGTAGCAGTATTTCTCTGATTTTTATTTTCGGCATTTTTTTTAAATTTTAAATGAAGTTTACTCGATAACTACCAGGTTAGGCGAGATCTGTGTTTTACATTACCCCCCTCTCCCCTCCGGAAAGGGGGGGGGGCCTTTCCGGAGGGGAGAGGGGGGTAATGTAAAACACAGAATCCAGTTGGTCTCGCCTTAATCTTGATAAAATTTTTTTTTTATTTAGTTTCTTCAAGCTTGTATAATTAAGTTAGAAAAAAATTTATCAAGTGTAAACACATAGTCATTGAGAAACCATCGCTAGAAGATAAAAAATATCAACTTTTAAAAAGGATCGTCACATGTTGTTTACATAGTACAGCCAATCAAAATGGTAGAAAAGGTGGTGAAAATTAGTAAATGCCTAATGCTGGTCAAATTGCAGATCATTCAGCCCGAAAAAATCCCGGGATTTTCCAGGCCAAATGATCTACAAATTTGACCAGAATTAGATTGTTTTGAAAATGTCACTCAATTTTACTAAGTAAACCTCTCTCTACTTCTAATTAAAGTTGTAGAGGAAGAAATTCTGATTATGATTATGATAAACTGCTAATGTATCATGAAATATGAATATTTTAATTTTCGCAATCTTATTTAAGTAAACTTCAAAAAGAAATGTATAGTCGTAGAATTAATTTCGTTATCCATCGGGTCAATATTGATTTTTTAACAATAATTATAGCCGAAATTTCTTTCTCTACAATTTTATTAGAAGTATAAGAAGGGTTTACAGAGTAAAAATATAAATAATCGATCAGTTAAGACCGGTCATTTAACCTTATATAACCAACCGGTTGACCGTCAATAAGGCGAGACCAATTTAATTCAGTGGTTTACGTTACATCCTACTCACAAAAAAAGAGGGGGGGGAGGGGGCCGGAGGGAGTTTATTATGAATTTTTTTTCCGAAATGCTCCGCGTTATTATAAAAATTTTCTGAAATTTTCCGCGTATATAGTGAGGGTTGATGATTGTATAAAAGAATTACAACTTATATGCAATAATCATCAACGTTTAATTGAATGGATTTCTTTTGAAAGACTAGATAAGATTGAAAAAATCGGTGAGGGAGGATTTGGCTCTGTTTATAAAACGATTTGGTTAGATGGCATTCGAAGTTATAAACAAGAAGATGATTATGATGGTTATCATCAATATATGGAAGTTCGTATACCAAGTGCTGTTGCACTTAAAACTTTGACTAACGAGGGTTTTACTGATTTTTTAAAAGAAGTAAGTATTTAAATCGTTATCGTTAGCATTTATTATTATATATTATTAATTTTTATTTTTTTATAAGTTTAAAGTTCATACTAGTTTTGGGTTATATTATGAAGCATGTAATCAAGTGTATGGATTAACTCGAAACACAGAAACAAATGAATTTTTAATGGTATTTCAGTATATTAACAATGGAAGTCTAAATACTTTTTTAAGAAAAAATTTTCAAGAACTTACGTGGATAACTAAAGCAAAAATTCTTTTAGATATTTCGAAAGAATTCACGAAGCAGATATTCATTCAGACTTTCATAGCGGTAATATTTTACAAAGTATAGAAAATGACAAATTCAAAACTTATGTTTCTGACTTAGGATTAACTAAAAAGATAGAAGAAAATAATCCTGGTCAAATATATGGAGTCATGCCATATGTTGCTCCAGAAGTATTACAAGGCGGAAAGTTTTCGCAAAAATCTGATATTTATGCTTTTGGAGTTATAATGACTGAGATAACAACAGGACAAAGACCGTTTGACGGATACAAATTTAATACAAATCTTGCAGTAAAGATTTGCAATGGATTACAACCAGAATTTGCACCCAAAACACCTGATGCTTATATTAAAGTAGCTAAACAGTGCATGAATATTGATCCACGAAAACGTCCTACTGCTGAAGAACTATATCTTTACTTTAAAGTTTCAAATGATAAGTGGTCTATTGCAGATTTTGAAAAGAAAAAAATTCAACAATATCTGTTAAAAATAGGTTCACTATTAAATGAAACATGTTATAGTTGCGAAGATTTTAACGGAGAACTTATTTGTTATGACATTAAGGATAATTATAATTTTATACCGGCAGATAATATTATCGAAAAGTTATCATTAACTGATCAAAAACATTCAGATCATATGTATACTAGTAAACTCATTAACACGCAAGAGATTGCTCAAGAATTAAGGGAAATGACTTTGACCAGTAAAGAAATATCATCTATAGAAATTTCCGATTAATTTTTTATTGGAGTTTTTTTTATGATTTTTTTTTTAAACGTGGATTATTTTATGTATGTTTTATTAAGACCATTATTTATAAACTAAAGAGATGCGTTAGAATTAGTGTTGTATTTAGAAATTATTTTGTCGTTTCTAAGTTGTGATGGAATTCTAATAAAGAAAATCAATTTATTTACGGCGCTTTTCAATCACTGGGAATCAGGAATCTAGAAAAAATCCCAACATATTATTGTTAAAATTTATTCTATTACAGCTGTTTTCAAGAAGGTCATGTGAGGAATTCATAATACAGTCAACTTTCTCTAAGTGCAACCCCTCTTAAGTGCAACTTCTCTCTAAATGCAACTTCTCTCTAAATGCAACTTTATCTTCGGGCCCAAGTATATGTTCGGTATACGTTTTGTCTCTATAAATGCAATTTTTCTTGATTGTCCTCTAAATGCATGTTGCTAAAAGTCCAGTCCCAATGAATTGCACTTAGAGGGAGTTGACTGTATTTCCCAGATTTCCGGAGTTTTCAAGACCCGCTCTAATCGGAAGTTTGGTTTTTACTATTATAAATTCTAAAATTTTCGATTTCTCACATAGGTATATGGAAATAGTTGTGTAATGTATTGATTGGAATTACCCTGATCAAAGCTCATGGATCTCTTGCAATAAAATTTAGAAGCATTCAATTTAATGACAGACAGGACAGATTATTTCTAAACATTGAACGAATTTTTCTCAATAACCACCTACATCGGATGTAGATCATTTTCTTGACATAAGGAAATCCGTATAAATCCCGATCTTGACCCGTGACTATCCGAAACCAATCCGTGCCGATCCAGTACATTTTTCTTATTATTATTATGTTAAATTAGTTACTCAGGCAATTTATCTAAGCTAGCCAATAAGACGAATTTTTTTTTATTACAATATTTACCGTAGATAGTGCAAATTTATATACTTGTTTATTTGGTGCACAAGGTAGTGAACTTCTACTATCGGGCAATTTTGTAGCACTAAATAAAAAGTATATATATTTGCACTGTATAGGGTAATATTGGAATAAATTTATGAATATAAAAATGGATAAAAATTGCAAAAAATGTGGCATTCAAAGTGACAGATTTGTTCTTTGCTCTTCTTGCATAATATCTCACTTTCAAGATGAATTAACTTGGACAAGCAAAAATCAAGAGCTAGATACATTCATTAAATATACTCATATAATGGCATCCAATCCAAACAAGGCAGCTTGTTGGGCTAAATGGGAAGAGTTTACTAATATTGAGAAGGCGGTTTTGGTGTTGTATATTCTGCTTCCTGGTCGAGAGAGTCCAAAGAGACATTAGATGAACTCGTTGTTTTAAAAACAGTTGGAAATCAAAGTAATTTATCAAATATTATGAATGAAGTAAGATTTTTTTATTTTTTCATAGCTTAAACTTAAAATATTTTATGCTTTAAATAATATCTTCATATTAGGCAGCAGCTCTATTTCACTGTTATAACCAGAAAACAAGTTGTTTTACTGTTAAGGGGTTTACACAAGATCCGATTAATATGCAATACTATATTATAACCACATATGCAGAATGTGGGGATTTGCGTCGATACATGCGCGAAAATCCAACTCTATCGTTGAGGGACAAAATTTTCATAATATGGGACATTAGCGTAGATTTAGAGAGAATCCATGAAGATGGACTCGTTCATCGTGACATTCACGCCGGAAACATCTTGTATACCCGAAACGTTGGGCATTTTAGGCGAGAAGTTCCAATACATGTCGGAGTAGCATACATCGCAGATTTTGGTCTTTCATTGGCTGCCAGTTATACCAATAGCACAACAGAAATTTATGGTGTCTTACCTTATGTTGCTCCAGAAGTACTTCATGGAAAAGGTTATTCGTCAGCATCAGATGTGTATAGCATCGGAATTATCATGTGGGAGCTTATAAGTGGAAAACGACCATTTGAATCTGTGCCTCATAATATCGGCTTAGCAATAAAAATCTGTGAGGGATTGCGTCTTGAGCCTATCCCAAACACATTGTCATTTTATCTTCAGTTAATGAAAAGTTGCTGGCATGAAAACCCACTGCAGAGGCCTACAGCAAAAGAAATCAAAGACAAAGTAAGTGATTGGTGTTTGTACGCGGATGAAGAAAAAATACAACAAATGACCGAGGCTGAAGAAAGACAAATTATTTCCCATACTCCATTTGATGGTAGAGAAAATAGCTCAGAAGCTATTTATACAAGCAGATTATTGCCATTAGTCGTATCATCTATACACACTGAAGCTGAAGCGAGACAAATAACTTCTCATGAAGAAGAAGAAGAGAACCCAGAAGCTATTTATGCAAACGGATCAGTGCCATTGGTTTTAACAGTTGAAGAGCCACCTATACACAAAATTGAAGAAGACTAAGTCTTAATCGATCGAAATATCACCAGTACATATTCTAAATTTGAATAGTTTTCTTAAATACAATACTTCGATTAATGTTTTTTTTTTATTTTTTATTCACTTATTAAATTACCGTAGCTAAAATGGAATAGATAGAAAATATTTACAAGCTTGAATAGCTTATCCCAGAAGCCTTGTTTAATAATGTTCTTTTTGCTCACCTGATTAAACAGCAATGTGTAATAGTAAATTTTCACAAACTCAAACATCATATCTTAAATATATGATTAATAAATGCTCATTTTGCTATCAATTAAATTGATCGAGCAAATAAAATATAAATAGAGGTATATGGATAGTAAATATTCTCGAACATGTATTGACTATCTTAATCACCTTAATTCATTAATATTCTTTTTATTCTCCTATTAAAATTAATTGAGCAAATTAGAATAGATGAGGTACTGCGTAAATGGAAAAAATCCATGAATAGTTATCTTACAGTAAAAACATTCAAATTATTGTCGTTTATATGAAAAATGAAATAAATTATAATTTAATATCTTCTCACATCTTCAAGAATAGCTATAATGCGAATACATTTATCATTACACTTTTCGGCTAATTAATGTTATTAATGAATTATACAAAATGAAAACCATTCTAATAAAATTTTTAGATAAATACGCAATTTAGCGTTAGTAAGAGTGTGACTTAAGGATTAATGAACCACTTAACCGTATTAGAATTTTCCATAGTTTCGAGCCAAATTATGCAGAACATGTGCCAAATTGATCCCAATGCCGGTCGAATTAAACGGTTAAAGCGGTTAAACAATTATAACGAGATATATATTAATATTTAATGTTTATTTGGTTCTAAACTTATATGTTTATCCTGTCGCTATCTCAAACTAGTGAATCAATGTTTTGTGAAGGTTACTATGCACTAATCGTAGATGTTTAGAACCGGGGAAGTTTATTTTTATTCGTAGAGAAAGTTAAATACTTTTAAAAATCAGCAAATGTATGGTTATAATTTTTACATGAAAGGCGCTGAGAATAAATGCGATACTGATTAAAAATAATATGTTTAAATGTCAAAAGACAATTACATTTATGTAATTTTTTTTTGTATACTAAAAATTTGCAATCTTATTCCTTTAATTGTAATATTTTTTAATATTTTGACCCTTATATGTAATTATTTTCACTTTGGGCCCTTATCTGTAATTATTTTCATTTTTTCGGCCCTTATATGTAAATTCCTCTTTTTTACCCCTTTGGAGGCTAACTACCCTTAACGTTAATACTTTTTTCGATCGTCAATTTTCTTACGAACTTTATATATTTTTTTAAAAAATGCCTCATATTAAATCATATATATTATTTAATACTTTACTATGATCAGTTTATAAAATAAATCAATTATTTTATGGTATTTTTAAATGATAAAATA